ACGTGTGCTCTTCCGATCTATTTTTGCGCTTAGAATTAAATAATATACGCTGTATAGATAAGTACCAAAAACATGAAAAATAATAAAATAATATTTTATGAATTGTTAGAACCGTCATTTTTTGCAAACAAACTTTTCAGTAATGCCGTTTTTTCTTCATGTCTTACTTGTTTTTTAGCCTATTTTTCTTTATGAATTTGTAATAAAGTTGTAGCTAAAATTGATTTTCCTTTTTTATCTTTTTTAGTATTAAATATTTGTGAGGATTCAGTATTTTTAACTATAACTTTATTTGCACTCTGTAATATTTCTGGCTCAACACTATCATCTATGGCAGCAATTTTGTTTAATTCATCTTCAAAATTTACTTTCATTCTTTTTGCTCCAGAAGTTGAGTTATTCGAAACACTGGCTTTTTTTCTTTTAAGTACAGTTTTGTATCGATTTTCGCATTGAACGTATGTTTTTTTTATACCAATACCTTCTAAATCTTCTGCTATTTGTAACCACATTGCCTTTTTATTCCTAAATTTTTTTATTGGTCCTACTAATTCTAAATAAGTTGCATATTTATCCAATAAAAATTTTGTGTTTTCGTCTGACCATCCACTTTCATCAGAAAGATTTTTTTCTTGTTCTTCTGTGTGTGATGAATTCAAATCATCACTAGGCCATTCATAACCAGCCTCAAGAAATTGGTTCTTGTCTATCATAAAGGTATCTAAATCACCTGTCACAATAAAATATATAAAATTATGTGAATAATATGCATCTCTTCATTTTTATTTATAAAGATTATGTAGAAAGATAATACATAGATGTGTATATTGCCGTGTGTGTGTGTGTGTGTGTGTGTGTGTGTGTGTGTGTGTGTGTGTGCGTGTGCGTGTGCGTGTGCGCGTGCGCGTGCGCGTGCGCGTGCGCACGCACATGCACGCACGCACGCACAGATTAACGTTACCTTATAATAATAAATCGCGGCAGCATGGCAATAATGGTACTAATACAATATTCATTTTTTTAATAATGATCTTATTCTACCGCCAGATCGTCGCAACCTGCATGCATGCTTCTATCTCAGTGATCGTAGTTGTCTTATCTTTCTTCAAAACAGTTGCTATAAATATAATAATCGAGCCTATACAAGTATTTTTTTTACATGAAAAAAAATATATTCCACTCATTACATGAGCGGAATCCGATAGTCCACCGAGTCCACGTCGCCAATTAATATCAATTTTCTTTGCAGATCAATCGGTGTCATTTAAGACCCCAACAATTTTTTATGCAGCTACCTCTAAATCGAACATATGTACCAAAAAAATAAACATTTCATATAATCATATTTTTAAATATATGTTAGAAGATCATACTAAAAAAATTAAGAAGAAAAACTTTAAGAATCGCGGATTTTGTGAGTGGTGTGTACTATCGGGATTGTGCGCTAATGTGATCTTCCTTTGCCTGTTTATAGAACCATATTGTATAAATGATTGTTCTTCTACAATATTTTGATGCTATATATTAAATCTGTTCATTATGGCTGAACTAGAGAGTATACTCGTATTAATAAAATAGATATTAATATATTTAAATTTAGGCAAAAACAAGAAAAAATGTATAAGTTTATCAAAATTTTGGAAATATTTTCATAAGAATTTTCAGATTTTATAGATATCTTTTGTTTTTAAATAAAGAAACAATCTCACATAACATTTTGTAAAAATCACCGGAGCGGACTCTGCCACCCAAGGACGACAGCATCCGTCCCAGCACCCTCCGGTGTATAGTCACTGTGGACTCCGTTTCTACTAAATTTTTTTTTCTGATTTTCTGTTTTTTCAGATGAGAATTTAGCTTATCAGAAATGCAGAATGTAATCAATAATAAACAAGAAAATAAAAAACTTCAAAAAATATATTTCAAATTGTTAGTATGTAAATATAAATTTAATAATATATATGAATAATTTTATATTTATTCTTATAGCAATGTGTGATATATATTGCATGCAAAGATCTAATTCACAAAATAATACAATAAATAACAAAATTTTCACATCTGATTGCACTGATTGCACTATAGAAGTGTTTGAAAACATCCCGCTTGTTTTAATTTAATACAGTCCAGTGCAGTCATAGTAACAGAAAAAATGTTAAATAAAATTAATATACTAATTATTGTATCAGACAGTTTTGATTTTCTTAATGATAATTTCTTCTTCTGTCCTGTCCATGTATAAGCTTTTGAAACTTCGTACCCCATAGTTTGCGACATTATATTTCTCACAGTTTTTGCTACAGAACCTCCACCTACTTGTGACATTTTTTCCATCTGTAACAAATGTGTTCTATATGGTATTATACAGGGTGTCCCAGAATTGGCGCATTCGGAGTACAGGATGTTATACTTCGTGCTAAAAGGAACAACTTTTTCCTTTAGCAAATTTTGATCTGACAAGTAATTTTGGCAGGAGAGCTGGTTAAAGTTAACGAATAATCGCTCTTATCCATGCGGCGCTCAGGGCCGGCGCGCGCTCCTCCATTCACTTGTTCCTAATCTTTGGCTAATATTTACAAATAATGTCTTAAGATACTAATACGGCTCTGTTATAATTATTTTACGACATTTTAAACTG